TGAAGATTATTGTTCTGATTCAGAATCTTCTAGCTCTGAAACTGAATCAGAGTCTGAATAATCTAGCTAGTCCAGAGTGAGTCGAGAGGTGTTTTACAGGATTATTAATTAGATTTTTTTGCTGAGCCATATATGCAACGCCTTCGGTCAGATTGTGTGACAAAAAATTTATCAAAAATTAATGTGTATCATGAGCTACGTCCTGAGCTATGTATTTATTTTTTATCTTATATTAATAAAACGTTTTTACATTTGCAACATAATATTGAATATTTTCTATCGTATAAAAAAAAATTATTGATCATGTCGGACACTCAATCCAATGATTCATTAAGGGAATTAAATGCCAAGCTCTTAACTGAGATTGCGGAGCTTAGGAAAGAGAATGCTGAAATTCCTGATCTTAGAAGAAAGATCTCAGGGTTTGATGCTGAGAGATCTGAATTCAAGGCCAGGATTGCTGAACTTCAAAGACAGTCTACGGAAGAGAATAAGAGGCGTGATGCTGAAAGCGCCAAACTCAAGGCTAGAATCGAGGAGTTGGAAAAGAACAAGACAGATTCTTCAGCAGAGAACGTTAGGCGTGATATTAAGATCGCTGAGATTAAGGCTGAAATAGTGAAACTAGCCGAAGGCGCTCAGGCAAAGGACAATAACGAAGAGAACAAAGAGCTACCCCAAATTATTTCTCTCAAGGAGGTTGTCAATGTACCTAGTTCTGTTATAGATCATTCCATTAATGTCAACCCTCTTGATACACAGTTAAAGGAAAATAGAAAGACCAATGAATTCTTAGATTCAGAGCATAAGAAGAAGATTGGCAATGAGATCAGACAATGCAATAAGGAAAAGAAACTTCAGCGTGAATCATGCGAAGCGCCTTTAACTCAACTCAGCTTCTCAGTTACATCAGACTCCTCATACAATATTCAAGATGATCAGAGTACTTCAGAAAGATTGAAAGAAAATGGAAACTCCATCACGATTTGTGATGATCAGCAAAAAAATATTTCAGTCACAGCGGATGATGATGATGATGATGTTTCTGAACTTAGTAAAAATCAGAATATAGAACAAGAATTAACGAAGGAATTGCTCAATAGTAGCATTATTGTCCCAACACTCTCTTCTGAAACTACAAAACATCCGTCATCATCTCTAGTTACAACACAGAGCTTAGTTTATTTATTCCAAAATGCAATACGAGTTGGACAGGAAGAGATCTTATCTTGGCTCTATTATTCAAATAGTTTTGAAAATAAAGTTGACGAGATTCGCCGTGATACTGGAGTTTCAGACAAAATGGCTAGATCTCGATTATATAAAGAAGTGCTAGAGCATTTACCTGGCATCACATCGGGAAACTTGCGTATAAAAATTCTAAGAGCTAAAAAAATCCGCATGTTATTTGGAGAAGGTGGAGTGGGAATAGATAAAGTTAAGAAAGTTACTCTTAGTGTTTACGCCATCTCGAGTCTTACCATTAGTCAAATTCAAAGCGTTATCAAGAATGTAACTTCAGTAGAACCATCACTAGATCGCAATCATGTGACTTCCGCATTACCTATAATAACCGATCAGACTAACGCAACCGAGGATTACGAAGATATGTATTTTGATGATGAATTTGAACATGATTTTACACCCCAATCAGTGAAAGAAACGAATGAAGAACTACCAAAGGTACCAGAAAATGTAGATGACAATAGTGACTGTTGTCACGACAACGATTCTGAAGAAGAGATGCCAGATGAATTGGACGATGATAGGTATAATGGATACAGTGGATATGATAAATATAGTGGTCGCAATAGAGGTTATTATTATCGTGATGGAAGATACGAAAGAAAAATCTCACCAATAATGAATCCTATTATATTTCCGGTATTTGGCTAGGAGAATTATTAGGTGGATTGTAGACCAAATTATCATATAGGTTTATTTTTTTTTCAGTCGAATTGAGATCAGCAAATTAATAGACATTAGAGTTGCCATAATTGTTCCATGTTTTGCGACGATCATAGTATTCAGAAGCGACAGTTCCGCAGTATTACATTTCGCAAAATAATGCACAGTAATATTATGTTAATCGTGACATGTATCACAGGAACAAGCAACTGCGCATAATAATTTATTCTCAAACTTTCTCGCACATTCTCAAAAATATGTATAACTTCTTGATGATCTTTTACATATGAATAGCGTAAGGAGAGGCAGTTAATCAGGTTTTCGTAATGCGATTATATTAATATAATTTTTCCCCAAGTATACTCCAAGATCGATCCTGCAAATTGTATAAAAAGGTGGTGTCCCAGTTAGTAAACCCTTTTATCCGCCTTGTGTGAATATAAGCAAGAATCAAAGAAAAATAAAAACGAAAAATTATAATAAAATTAATAAATTTAAAACTGCTGTTATTTGCATCATCGATATTTACAATCAAATGAACTGTATATTCCGCAAAGTAATAATAAAGTAAGTTGGTTTGTTACTCAGCTAGTTTCTCTAAACACGTCATCACGATGTTAATCGATTTTCCCGCCTCTATAGATGCTCTAAAATAAAATAACAGACATATTACTTCCTCTGGTCTTCTTATTATATATCAGAATTTTGATCTTCGCCGAGAAAATCACAGATCATCATCACGCGTATAATTGGATGCAGTAAAATTACTCACATGAATCTCGTCACATGCAACTTCACAACAAAGGTCTGGCACAGTATATCAGTTGCCGAATTCTGCGCAGTATCGTACGTATAATAAAAAAATCGAAATACCTTTATTAAGCAATAAATTTCAGGCAGAATGGAATGTTGCGAAAATTAATAGTAATGGTAAGTGTATATTATATTGCCTTATTTTTTATCTCAATTGCTAATCTCCAATTTATGCTGTAGGTTCGAAAGTATCTAATTTCGGAGAAATTTTCTTATGGGGAATATTATTTTATATTGTCTGTGTAGGTAGGGTGATATAGATATGCGAAAATTTGTATGGGGTAATTTATTTTGGAATTTAGAGTAGAAAAAGAGTATTGGTGTAAAAATCTCGTAGTTAGTAATAGTGATAGTATAGAAATTTATAATAGAGCAAAAAAAAACTTGATGCTAGGACTCACATTAAATGGCCTAGAATCCGCGTACTCCCTTCTCTTTAATAGCATCATACATTTCATTTGCTTCTCTAGCATTTTTCTGATAAGTTATATATCTGAAAAATCAATAAAATTTTGCCCACTCTGAGCATTTGGAATCAAAAATTTTTTTCTTTGCAAAAAACTGTTACCATTGGTAACGATCAGAATCATGTGACTTTGAATCAATAAATTATGTAATACATATGGATATAAAAATAGGGTTGTGACCAGGGACGATGTTTTATTGTGATGATATAAAGTAAATTTTGTGTGTGATGTAAATCAATTTTGTGTTGTGTTGTAATCTAATTTTTATTGATTTTGTGTGATTTTGTGGCATGTTTATAATATTTTGTGATATTATGTGAAAAATTTTTTATTTACAATTAATAAAAAAAATTAAATTTAATCATCCCGATTAAAATACAACATATTTAGTTGTTTAAGTGATTCTTTTGATAAGTTTTAATGATCATTATTTAAGAGAGTGTTATATAAAGAAAAACTACGCTCCACAGCATAACTTGATTAGGTAACCAAATATAATTCAATGCTATTTGAGAAAGAATTGATAAACGCGTTACTAAATTATTCCAATAAACATCCAATTTATTTTCTTCTATATTTTCATCAAATTCCAATCCACAATAAATACCCCATTCATGTAACAAATCATCAGAAGGATTATTAAGTTCTTTAATAATTGAATATTGATAAATACTATGTCGTTGAATATTATTTCCAAGATGCATATATTTAGGATCAAAAATACGAGCTGCACAAAACAAAGGACGAGTTGGATGATTTGGAATATGTAATTCAAATTTTTTGAATGCTGCCTGAAATGCCGCTTGAAAAATAGAATAGACTG